CTGGCTCCTTACAAAAATACACCCCAAGTTAGAGGCTGAAATACTTTTTGATGATATCAAGACCACGGGGGAGTTCCAAGGGCGGGGCGCATTAGTTTTGCAACATTATTTCATAGTAAAGTGATAACATTCCTCCCCACCCCTTCTTCCCCCACCTAAAGTTATTTTGTTAAAACCTTTATAACCATTTTGCATGTGTGGACTAAGGTTACAGGCATGGACCCAACTATTAAGCAAACGAACCCTAGGGGTGACTGTGTGACGGGTTATAATAAACGCGCTGGGGTAGTGAGCCGTACAATAAAGTTGGGAAAATAGTTGCAAGTGACCATTGCTATATGGGGGTTATGCATAATCTGAGTTCATAAGTCATTGGGGTGGACAATCAATGAGGCAGAGCTTTCAGACTTGAAGAAATGTGGTTTGGGGAAGGGAGAGAGATTCCCCCTTATACCACACGAAATCACAAAGAAAAGGGAAAGAAGGATCCTTGTAAAAAAATCAAAGTTGAGAATTCAGTCAATGGTAAAATAGATTTTTCCCAGTGTTGCCAGGGTCTCACCATTTGAACCAATACAATGGGTGTGGGGACCGGGAAATGTAATGGAACACAGGGAGAGACACAAAGATGCTAACAAAGAAAACAATACTGAACACATACACCACTTAAGATACAATAATGCACTTGCTGTCCCTATAGACGAAAGTCGGCTTCATATTCTTTAAATAAAAACAAAAAAAAAAAGAAAAAAAAAAAAAAAAAGAACCCACCTGACTCTTCAACCAAGTTTTGATGTCCGACGAGCCCCTCGACGCCCATGTTGCATGATTTGTGCCATCTAACTTGTTAATGGACAAGTGTACATTCACATAATTGGTGTATATTGAAGGATCAGAATATGAGCCACCAACAGAGGTGTTTGTAGACGAGGAAGATGCCATGGAGAAGGAGAAACCCTAAAAATCCAAAGTGCTCCGATTGACGCGACGACCACAGATCCAGAAAGAGGACGAGGAGGCGATCACGACGGTTCTGATCAGCGACAGAACTCTCCGGCGACGCGGAGGGAAGCGGCGCCGCGTGGAGGCGCGTGGGTGGTCCGTTCGCCGCGATCTTTGTACCACGGTGGTCGCCCAGCCGAGACGATTCTGATGGTGTGGTCGTCGGTCGATTCTGGAACTTCGGCGACGGTGGCGGCGGCGGCGGTTGCGGCGACGACGGCAGCGGCAACAGCGACGGCGGGGACAGCGGCGATGAGTTGTGCTGGAGACCGTGGAGTTGGCTGGAACTAATCCTATGCTCTAGATATCATGCGAGAAATAGAGAAGATTGGGAGAAAATATCCCTTGTGTCTTTTGCATACACATAAGGTAGTTTATTTATAATGTAAGATATGGACCAATGCCCTTAATACAGAATGGGAACCCCCACCTTGCACCATTTGGGGCCCTAAAAGGTTTCCTTGGCTAATACTAGACACCTGTGGTCCCATACAAACAGCCCCTTGAAGATTACCCAATGGTAATGAAATCCCAATGTTTGATCTTGAAGACAAATTAGAAGTGTTGGAAGATAATGAACCGAGCCCGGGATTCTGTCCAACATGTGTAGGAACAGAAAAGAGACCCAGGGTTAGTGATGTTATTCCTAACTGTCTAGATGAAGATACACTGAACCGTGGGTTCAGAAAATAGCATCCCACTAGATATTATGTTTAACATGTGCATGGCAAAAAGAGTCTAACCCATTGACAGAAGTCCCATAGAGGTTCCACCATTTAAGCCAGCAGAGTTCATTACCTGCCAGGCTTGAGAGAGATTGCTCAAAATGTTTAAATTTGCTTGAGAGGGATTCACTGGACGAAAGGTTGCAGCATTAACAATCTAGGACCATCCACAAATATATTTGAGACATCTAGTCCTTGGTGTGAGGGAACATGTTTGAGATCCTACTATGACTAGAGAGATATAGGCAAATTACAATATATAGATGGGTACAAACCTAATTTAACAAACTTATAGGATTGAATTAGTCTTAAATCCACTTTCTAAGAGCTATCAAGCTCTACGATAAATGATTACTAGAGTCAATGTACATATAATTTAACATTATGGAAAAGAAATAAAAAATTGCAGTTGTACAAGGATCATGGGTAAAGATATAATATGAACCATTAAAGCTATAAAAATTCATTATTAATACAATTTATTTTAGATCTCTGACTACCGAGGTTTAATGGTTATAATACCTTCTCATCTGCTTCAAAGTGTTCTAATTTGGATAACTTCCCACTAGTTATGATCTCCTGAATCTGCATATAGTAAACTGTTAGACAGAAAAATAACGAGAGTGGAATGTGTGTTATATAAGGAAATTTAAAAAAAAAAAGTAATTATGGTGTTAGTAGTTTCAGGAGAGAGACTTGGTGAAAATAGTTCACTTTGGGGGTTGTTAGGGGTCTTTTGTACAAAGAGCCTTTGGTTGGGTATGTTAGACATATTATCTTTATCTTTTATCTTTATTAGTTAGTTTGTTATTATTTCTTATTTGTATTTTGAGCTTAGCCCATATTTGTTCTATTATAAATAAAGGACCCTATGTGTATATTGAACACAAGGGAGTTTTCACTATATTCAACTTAGTAAACAAGGAATACCCTATGTGATAGGATATAATGTGTATAATAGGAGGAAACAGATTAAAAACTAGTTGTTAGTTTGGATTGTTAGGGTGCGTGAGACCTTCTTTATATAGTGGGGAGTCTTTGTAGGCAGGGGAATGTTTTTGGATGTTTTAGAGAATTGTTGTCAGGATCATTACCATCCTGTGTGAAGGGAACTTTGTCCCCTGGAGGCATTCTGGCTATTCTGGGTGCCTAGAATCAATAATACCAGATCTTTTCAGTGAGCTTTCGTGTTTTACAGTAGTTTTCTTGGGTTCCTCTACCTAGGAACCTAACACTATGTGAAAGGAAGTGTCTTCCTTTGTATGTGGATGTCGGAGTATAATACTGCTGAAAGAGTACTACACAGATATTTGGTCTATGTATCTGGTTTTGGGTTCTTTCTTTCCTAACTAAGCACGTAACAAGATTGGTTTGATCTGTCAGATCTGAAAACAAAGGGTAAGAGTGGATAATCGACTAAGCACGTAGGAAAGATGGGCCAAATAAGTAAAGGTGGTTGTGTAGCTGAAAGCTTATATGGCTATTATGAAAGGATGTTTGCTAGACATGAAAGAAATCAAAGAACTGTTACATAGAAATCAAGAAAAGTGAGAAATTGCATAAAGAAGGAGAGTATTTTGTTAATGTTCAAGAGAAGAAGGAAGAAAGATCTGTACATAGTAGCAAATCAGCTGATGATAAGAAGTCTAGTGTTCAAGAAATTCTGGAAAACCACTTTCAGATTAAACTATACATAAAAAAATATTATGAACATATATTGTTGAGATATTTTAGGAAGTTTAGATTTCATTACTATTGGTTTTAATTCTATATATTTGTTGTATCATGGTTTTATTACTAGCATATCAATCCCCCAATCTCAAGGATTTGTTTCCTAGGATAGGTAGTTCCATTACCATGAGGAGTGGTGGAGAGCTGACCTAGGAAACTGCACCAGCATAGCAGCATCAGACTTCAGCACCTGCACAACAGCAGCAGCAGATTCCAGTTCGTACTGCAGACCATCAGCAGCAGTATCCACCACCACCTTCTTTTGATGCCCGCGCACCACAGACTTCACTTCCTTTTCCTTCCAGGACCATTTAGTCGAAGAAATTAGAATTTGATAGTGAGCTACTGGAGACTTTAAATAAAGTGGAGATAAACATTCCAAATTATGCTAAGTTCCTTAAGAAATGTGTACTTAGAAGAGGAGTTTGAAAGGAAAACAAATTCAGAATGAGGGGAGAAATGTGTCTGCACTGATACAGAGTAGAGATGTTGTGATGATCCTAGCACTTTCTGATAGGCAAAAAAATAAGGAGAGGAAATGGAATGTATATTATAGAAGCAAATTTACTGAGGAAAGGTAGTTAGGCAGGTAGTTGTGTTGGTGGAGGAGACTTTCCAAGAAAGTCTTTATATAGTTACATTGGGGGTTGTGAGGGAGATGTTTTTGGTAGAGCTAACAGGAAATTACCCTGTGACAAAGGAAATACCACCCTTCGTATGTGAAGACCTTTGTTTCCTTTATACTTTCTTTGAAAATAATATCATGACAAATATTCAATGTACATAGTGTTTGGTTTTGTTATTTCCTTTATAACAAAGAACATAACATTCTGATCTGACCTGCCGTATCGGAAGAGGAGGGAAATTATTGGAAATGGTGAGTTCTTTGGAAAAATGAGGCAGTGAACAAGGAAAGTGATTGCGAAGATGTTGATGGATTTGGCTATTGTGAAAGATAGTTTGCAAGATATGAAGGAGATCAAAGAAATGTTGCGAGATCTCAAGAAAAAAAAAAGAAATTATCTGAAGGAGATGAAAACCCGATTAACAACGAAGGAAAGAAAGAAGAAAGATTTGTTCAAGATAGCAAATCTGGTGAGGAAGGAGACAACATGCAGAGGCCCTGGATAAAAAGGGTGGAATTACACATTTGAGGGGAATGATCCACAAGGGTGGATATTAAGAATGGGGAAATTTTGAGGTTCAGAATGTCACTCCAAGGGAAAAGTTATGTTTGGCTTTCATCAACATGGAATGCAAGTCATTAATTCAATTTTGGAGACAAAGTCCAAGAATCCATCTTGGGAAGAATTGACAACCGCATTGAGTGGTGGATTTGGTACGGAGAGTCTTTGGTTGTGTAAACAGGAAATGCCGTGTATGAAAGGAAGTGTCTTCCTTTGTTTGTGAATGTTGGTGTACAGTACTAACAATTGTTGAAATAATACTGCATAAGATATTTGATCTAAATTTCTGGTTTTGAATTTTCTTTCCTGACAAGACACAACATAAACATAGTTGTTTGTCTATCTATCTAAACAAATGTAAAAGTAAGCTCTAAATCATTACAAAAGAAGAAGTATTAATGTCTTTCTGAGTACCAAATTAATATCACTCAGCTATTATTGTAGACTCACTACAAATGAATAAAACGAAATTTCATAAGACAAAGGAGAAGGCAGCTGCAAAACTAAATACTTGAACCAAACAAATGTTATAATAAAAATAACCATAATTCAATGACCAAATAATAACAAACTTTCTAAAAGAATCATATCTCATAGATGTTAACATGCTGAATGGATTTCCAGTACAACTAGATAATGCCATGCACATTTATTCCTAGTAATAAAAAATAAGTAAGAGAATACCATAGAAGACAACAGAAATTTCAGAAGAGAAAATAGGGTAAAAGAGCAATACATCTATTAGGAACTATGATTCAGAAATTAAAGATATATAGTCTTTCAAAGTGACAAACTACAAGACAGAGTGTCCAGTGACATAGTTCACTTACATGATCTTTCAATGATTTTCCAATAGATGGTAGGTTGTTTATCTGGTCAGCACTTTCAATTTTAAATGGCAACTTCTCAATTACAGCAATAGCCTTGTAATAGCTAAAGGACCTTCGATCATCTCCCAATGCTTCAAACAGCGATACCACAATAAATAAGAGCACTGGAGTAGCAAACAATATAAAAAGATTGCAATATTTAGNTCCATCTTGGGAAGAATTGACAACCGCATTGAGTGGTGGATTTGGTACGGAGAGTCTTTGGTTGTGTAAACAGGAAATGCCGTGTATGAAAGGAAGTGTCTTCCTTTGTTTGTGAATGTTGGTGTACAGTACTAACAATTGTTGAAATAATACTGCATAAGATATTTGATCTAAATTTCTGGTTTTGAATTTTCTTTCCTGACAAGACACAACATAAACATAGTTGTTTGTCTATCTATCTAAACAAATGTAAAAGTAAGCTCTAAATCATTACAAAAGAAGAAGTATTAATGTCTTTCTGAGTACCAAATTAATATCACTCAGCTATTATTGTAGACTCACTACAAATGAATAAAACGAAATTTCATAAGACAAAGGAGAAGGCAGCTGCAAAACTAAATACTTGAACCAAACAAATGTTATAATAAAAATAACCATAATTCAATGACCAAATAATAACAAACTTTCTAAAAGAATCATATCTCATAGATGTTAACATGCTGAATGGATTTCCAGTACAACTAGATAATGCCATGCACATTTATTCCTAGTAATAAAAAATAAGTAAGAGAATACCATAGAAGACAACAGAAATTTCAGAAGAGAAAATAGGGTAAAAGAGCAATACATCTATTAGGAACTATGATTCAGAAATTAAAGATATATAGTCTTTCAAAGTGACAAACTACAAGACAGAGTGTCCAGTGACATAGTTCACTTACATGATCTTTCAATGATTTTCCAATAGATGGTAGGTTGTTTATCTGGTCAGCACTTTCAATTTTAAATGGCAACTTCTCAATTACAGCAATAGCCTTGTAATAGCTAAAGGACCTTCGATCATCTCCCAATGCTTCAAACAGCGATACCACAATAAATAAGAGCACTGGAGTAGCAAACAATATAAAAAGATTGCAATATTTAGGAGACTAGGTGTTACAGAAGCATTACCTCTATATATGGTTACAAGTTTCCCAAATATCTCTGTTATGTTTTTGTTTTGATCAGGTGGACAGTATGATGAAGATGACTGCAAAGGCACTCATGTTAGTGTAGCATTGAGTGTGTGTGCGTGGCATAAACTGATAGGCTTCTTTTATCAAGAAGCCGATCAACACTTCTCAACTCGCACACACACAAAAGAGAACAGAATAGAATGTGTATTATTGATGTAAGTATGAAGAAATGAACAATATCACCCTCCTAGGGAGCACTCTCCCTCCACTGGAACAGATATCCAGTCTATATCAAAAGAATACAAAATGAATAGCCAATCTTGTACATAACACACACCCTATTTATAAAGTCACCCTTCCCCTTCCCACTAACTAGCTAACTGTCAAACAACTCTTCCCTCCTAACTGCCCTCCCATTTCCTCTTCCTTCTATCCTAAACCCATTATATCCTATCACCTTATATCCTATCATTGCACCCTGCTGCAGAACAACCTTGTCCTCAAGGTTGGAATTGTGAAGCTTGATCTCATGGCTCCTCTTCATCATCGTGTTATCATATGAAGGGAACCCATTGGCTACTGCCCTCCAATTTAGGTATGGAGGCTTGGGTGGTGGCAAATCCTCCTCCAATGACTTCCACTCTTCCTAGATTCTTTTAGCCCACTTTGTGAAATCCTCAAAACCTCATCTCTGACTTCATCGGCTCTTGTAGCAACAACACTTTCGGCAACTGCTCCATCTACTTGCAAACTCTCATGTAAAATTTCCACACTCCCCATCTGTGTTACTGCTGCCCAACTCTCACATAGCATGCTTCTCCTGTTCCCTTCAACTATCTTCAGTAGAGTTGTTGCCAGATTTTTCCATGAAAGGTTCTTGGATTTTTTATGCCAGGTCTTGAACCCCTGGACTACATTTTCTTCACTATTTGGGTTTAGTTTTGTTGATCCTTTGGTGTTCTGAACTTCAGAAACATTTGTTGCCCTTGTTGTTTAACCTTGGATGTCAATCCCTTCATAAGTGGTCAACTCTTCTCTTTTCACCCACAGAAAAACTGGTTTTTCCTCACCCTTCCTAGCTCCATTATAGTCAATGGCATCCTCTTCTCCTTTTTGCTCCCAATTGATTGAATTTTCTCCTCCACCCAAGTGTTTCTTTGCTTTCTTGATGTCTTGCAGAAGTTCCTCTCTTCTTTCCTTTCTTGCTCTGTAATCATACTCAACTTTGTTGCTCTCTGACATCACTGTTTTAACCCCAAGCCTCAACAATTCTTCCCCTTTTTTCACTATTTTGACATACACACCACAACCTACCACTCTATCTCCACTAAAATCAACAATTTTTGCAACTTTACTTGGAGAAGCAAGAGTCACAACCTTCCCATCATGGTCTTCACCTAATGTATTTTCCTTACCAACATTTGTCATGTTATCCACCCTTACAGTAGCAACTTCTGCAACTTTCTCATCAGCAGCCACACCCATGTCTCCATCACAGTTTTCGTTATTGCCTTCCTCTTCACATATATTTTCTTCTCTCCTTTCTTACCTTCTAATTCCTGCAAAACCATCAACACTCGAAACAGCAGCTTCTGACACTCTACTCCCTGATGTAATGGTAACAACATTTCCCTCTTCATTGATATTTGTTTCTCTTTTCTTCTCCCCATTGGTTGAATTTTCCCTCTTCACTGACATATGTTCCTTCACGTATATTTTCTTCTCTCCTTTCTTGCCCTCTAATTCCTGCAAAACCATCAACACTCGAAACAGCAGCTTCTGACACTTTACTCCCTGATGTAATGGTAACAACATTTCCCTCTTCACTGATATTTGTTTCTCTTTTCTTCTCCCCATTGGTTGAATTTTCCCTCTTCACTGACATATGTTCCTTCACGTATATTTTCTTCTCTCCTTTCTTGCCCTCTAATTCCTGCAAAACCATCAACACTCGAAACAGCAGCTTCTGACACTTTACTCCCTGATGTAATGGTAACAGCATTTCCCTCTTCACTGATATTTGTTTCTCTTTTCTTCTCCCCATTGGTTGAATTTTCTCCTCCATATGAGGGTTTATTGGTTGTCTTGATGTCTAATAGACTACCTTTCACAACATCCGTCCCCATTTTTCCCTCTTTCTTTCCTTCCATGACAGATTTCTCACTTCTTTGTAAGCCCTTTATCTGAATCTTGATATTTTGCAGCATTTCTTTTATTTCTTGGATAGTTCTTCTCTCCATTCTGCACTACTCTATGGATATCTTTCTTCCATCTTCTCTTCATCATTAGCCAAGTATTCTCCTTCTTAAAAGAATTTTTTGGCTTTCTTGACGTTTTGCAGACTGTCTTTCACAACATCCCTACCCTTCTTTACTTCTTTCTTTCCTTTCTTGTTGTCTTGAAGAAATTTCTCTTTCCCTCCCCTTCTTGCTCTGTCAAGAGATTCCTCCCTTCCTTTTGAGTCCCTTTCTTGATTCTGGTCTTCCAATATCATTTCTTTCAATTCTTGGCAACTTCTTCTAAATTCTGCCATCCTCATTTCCCTTTCGTTGGCCCACTTCTCCTAGGTATTATCTCTTCCTCTCATGCTTCCACCTCTTCCTCTATAGACAGTGTTCCCTTGATGATCTGACAACGCTCCCTTGATGATCCGGCAGGTCAGACCAAACTTGATAGGCTGCTTTTATCAAGAAGCCGATCAACACTCCTCAACTCGCACACACATAGAAAAGAGAACATAATAGAATGTGTATTATTGATGTAAGTATGAACAAATGAACAATATTTCCCTCCTAGGGAGCACTCTCCATCCCCTAGAACATATATCCAATCTATATCAAAAGAATACAAAATGAATAGCCAATCCTGTATAAAACACACACCCTATTTATAAAGTCTCCCTTCGCCTTCCCACTGACTAACTAACTGTCAAACAACTCTTCCCTCCTAACCTCGCTCTCATTTCCTCTTCCTTCTATCCTATACTCATTATATCCTATCACCTTATATCCTATCACAAACAGTAGACACAGTTATATGAATCAAAAGATAGAAAAAATATTAATTATATTAGTCAAAATCTTATTCTTAAGAGAGCCTGAGAAAAATGCTTGTTTTGGAGTAAAATATTGTCACCAAATAATGTTAAGCTGTTGGTGGATAGATCTTAGCACTTACATCGTCAATTTCAGAATCAAGGTGTTGAGGTCTTGTATTTCCATAACTTAAACTATCACCTTCCTCATGGCTGCTTGTTGATAAAAGTGAAACATTTTTTCCTCCCTGATCGTTACTTTCATTATTTACAATTTCCGTGTATTTGGTCTTTTTATTATTATGCAATTGCTGAGGATCGCTCTGACATGGTTGAAGGTCCCAAGACTTTTCAGGTTTTCCTTGAGAGTTCAAGTTCAGCACATACATATCTTCAGATACTATCTCCCCTGATTTCAAGCAGTCCTCGAGCCATTGATAAATGAGAACTCTCTGCACAAATCACCGTTACATCATTAACCGGAAAACAATTAAATAACAAACTAAACAAAAGACATGTAAAGGGACACTCCAAATACAAACGGAAATTCACATTATACATTTAAGAGGAAATACTACAACACATCAATTCTTAAAACAAAAAAAGAGATCAAAACAAGATCAAGACCCTTCAAACACTATTATTAGATATCCACTTTGATCCTTGAAAGAAAAACTCAAACCGAGACCACATTTACCCTATATCATCAATAAATACATCTATTAGCCCTCCAAAAGTACACAAGCTTCTTAATAAACCGCTACGGAAATACCAATCAATATTTCTGATGAATTGAACGCCAAAAATGGGGTTATTTTACGGATACTATCGTTGTCCTTACATATCCAAGGATACATAATCAGACTATGCACTCATAGATCACATAATGAAGAAAAAACCAACCCCTTTAAAACGTGCCAAACGTTCCCTATCCAGTTGTTGAAGAAGCGCATCTGAGTTCATAGCAAAAACATGAGTGACCCGTTTGCAGAGGCGCTCCTCTATCACAGCCCCCATTTGCACCAACCTCTCCTTCCAAATCTGATACACGGGAAAAAAGTGAAGAAACATAGAAAAGATGCAAACTTTGAAACTTCAAATGGAATAAAAAAGGTGGGTTTTGAAAATGAAAAATGTACAATGATATCCATTGTTAGCCGGTGAAACTTGAAACTTGTATGACCTGGAGTCGACGGACTTGGACTCCTTTGGGAACCAAGAACACCACCATGCCTGAGAACATTCCACTGGGATCGGACTCTGGCTTCTTCTTTGGCGCCATTTTGCGACTTTTACTTTCCTTGTTGATGGCTTCTACGAGAAACCACGGTGATGCGAGTGGCCTATGCTTCAGTGCCTGCATCCAAAGGTAACCTCTTGAGACCAGGCTGAAGTGTCGCAGCATGTGTTTGACACGTGAGTAATTATGATGCAGAAACAAATAAACTATAGCTGTTTTTGAGACTGAGAAAACAAAATTAGAAAAAAATTTATAACTTAAATTTAAATGAGGAGAAATTTTTTAATTTTGTTTTTAAGTTATTTTTTCATATTAAATAAAATATAATATGATGTGTGTTTTGTTTCTTATTATGTTTACTAAAAATCATTAGTGTGTATTTAGTTTTTTGTGATATGTTATGTTCATCTTACTTCATTGATCAAATATTAATTTCATTATTAATATTAGTGAAAATACATATTTATCCACTTTTTTAAGTAAAAATCTATTAAACTATAAAATAATTTTTATTAAAAATAATTTATTTGAATAATTATTTTATTATATAAATAAATTTTTATTGTGAATAATTATGTAAATTTAAAAATATAAAATTGAAAAATATTTTGTTATTATGAATAATTATTTGAATTTATAAAATAGTTATTAAAAAATAAAATTAGAAAAGAAAATGTGGACACAGTTAAATTCTCTATATTATAGCAATAGTTAATTATTGAAATTTTGCATTAAAAAAATTAACTATAATATTTTTTACTTATATATTGTTATATATTTAACCTATAACACTTTCTAAAAATTATTACAGATTTCACATCTCCATCGGAGATAATTTTCCTTTAGACATAATTTTTCTTGATAAAGACTCTAGTAATAATATAAAACTCTAGCAATGATCCAAGTGGATTTGAAGATATTTGAGGGTGAATTAATTATTATTTATTTGAGTGAATTTGAATATAAATGAGTGTGGATTTGAAAGTAAAGTTTACAAGTGGCAGATAAAAAAATTGTTTAATTGGTAGATATTAAAGATTACCAAAATGTTCTTAATTATTGAAGTAATATAAAATAATAATTGTGAATGTTATATTTAATTGTAAAAATGTTTATAAAGAGTAAAATATTAACATTAATTATTAAAAATAATTTTAATATTGTAAAATGATTTTATTTTAGTAAAATGAATTTATTTTTTATTTTAATATTTTTGTAATATTATTTATTACCAAGCGGTATGATTTTATTTGTTATCAAAGTGAAATTGAATATTTTTAAAGAAAGAAATAATTAAACAAATTTAGAATATTACATGAGATAAAAAAAAAGTGTCAACATAATAACATAGAAATATATTTGTCATAGAAATAAATAAATAATATTTTTGTAATATTATTTATTACCAAGCGGTATGATTTTATTTGTTATCAAAGTGAAATTGAATATTTTTAAAGAAAGAAATAATTAAACAAATTTAGAATATTACATGAGATAAAAAAAAAGTGCCAACATAATAACATAGAAATATATTTGTCATAGAAATAAATAAATAATATTTTTGTAATATTATTTATTACCAAGCGGTATGATTTTATTTGTTATCAAAGTGAAATTGAATATTTTTAAAGAAAGAAATAATTAAACAAATTTAGAATATTACATGAGATAAAAAAAAAGTGCCAACATAATAACATAGAAATATATTTGTCATAGAAATAAATAAATAATATTTTTGTAATATTATTTATTACCAAGCGGTATGATTTTATTTGTTATCAAAGTGAAATTGAATATTTTTAAAGAAAGAAATAATTAAACAAATTTAGAATATTACATGAGATAAAAAAAAGTGTCAACATAATAACATAGAAATATATTTGTCATAGTTTATGATTTAGTTGTTTCGGTGAGATATGTAAGCTAGAACGATATTGTATTGGCATCCCTAGTAGACGTCTTATATGAGATGGATGTGAAGATAGAAAATCGAAGCATTATCTGAGTAAATTATCATCTCGAATGTTCATAGGTCGTAATAAATTATGAATTTCTTCTAAAGTTGGATTAGATGAATGAGTTATGGTCGCTAACAACGCATTTCGACGCTCTGTGGCCTGTACTTGTCATTCAAGAATTGCACATAGTCTTCTTGTTTGAGTAATTCCCTTTTCCAATTCATCAATGATTCAAGAATCCATCTGATTTGCAGTTCATTAAGTTGACAAAAAATAAAAGTTTGATGACTAATGTGAAAGCAAGTGGAATTGAAATATAAGTAATATAAGAAATCAAACACATAAGTCAATGTAACCAAATAAGTTGTGTAATATAGTCATGGAATAGTAATTAACTTAATCATCTAAATGGTGCATAATTAAATTAACATTATGATTCAGGTTAACAAATTGTCGGTTCATGTCGAGGGATAAGTTTGCCAAGTTATCTTCAATACGTTGAACTCACCCCTGCATTTGTTCCATGTCCTCCATTATGTGTTGCAAGTCTTGTACCCCGTCCCACATTTCAGTCATCATATTAGGATTTGAAGGATATGGAGGAGGTTGCACAGGGTGCTCATGTTGAGGACTATGATGTTGTGGTTGCTCGTCGTCTTCATCATAACCGACCTCGTGTTGCCAAACATCGTTGACATTAACAATATTCAACCTCTTCAAAGAATTAGTTGAAAAATGTTGCTTGCTCCCAATCTGACTGCTGACATCGACATCAACATGTACTTCACTATATTGCATGATTTGGGTGATAAGGACACCGTATGGTAGGGGTGTGTCCCCAGCCTTGCATTTAAGCATATGTTGCATGATGTGATGAGGTCAATTGATAGCTATATTATTTTTAAGCACTCATAACATAAAGATATCTTCATGCAATAACTTTGCAAAATTTTCAGGTCGTGAAGTCAACATGTGCACAATAACATAATGCAGAAGTCTATCATTAATATTCAAACAATCAACCGTTTTAACACGTTGACCCTACATTTCTGGTCTAACCATAGTAGCTAATGTCATCTCCCGGTCATAGGGAAAGTCATCTGGGATATTTGCATAACACAATTTTTAACCCTCATACTTCATATGAGCAACATTCAACCAATCAACAGGTTTCAATCTAATTATTCTTTTGTTGTCCTCATTGAGAAGATATTCATTTCCAGAAATCCTCAGATTTGAATAAAAGACTTTGATCAAATCCAGATAGAATAGTCTCTCCAATGTCAGAAATTCTACCACTCCTTGAAATTAAAGATGATGTTGAAAATATAAGCCTGAACTGGAAAATGATTCGAAATTCATGATTACTGAAACAACAATATTTCTTGTGTAGAAATCAGTGGCATAATGTTCCATCTGATGGTTGTCACTGAAGAAACGATGGTGATCTAATACTTCTGCAATAGATGGTCTGACATGTGATGGAGCTTCTGGCTCTATTGTGGGTTCTTTTCATTACGACTTTTTCTAGGTCTTTTGGATGATGATGATGCCATTTACAAATAACTTCAAGAAAACAAAAAAATAAGATAAATAACAAGTTAAGTCATAACAAGATTTCAATA